TGATACAGTACCATGAGAGAGAAAAATATTTAAATACATATATATATGAAAGCCATGTAGCTTGCAAATAAGCATAACTAAGTTATTTGCAATAAAACAGTTGTATATAATTTTTCTGATAAAAAGTAGCTTAAATTGTTAACTTTTGTAAGGTGTTTACCACAAGACAAGATGTGTATGGCAAAGGATATAAGTTTACTATACTGACCTACATTAATGCACCAATTTTATAACCGTTTCGGTCGATAATCTAAAGAATTCATGTAACACTAAACTAATTTACAACTAACCTGCGTGCTTTGCTCATCCTCGTAACTCGGATATTATGTTATATATGTACATAATATATAGCAGTATATTAATTATAATGAAGGGTGTTCTCCATAATTTTGCTTCACTGTGTAACTGTGAAAGCTCCTGAATCGTATTTGGGAATGGGATATTCTTCTTGGTAATCAACTGGATTTCTTTTAACTTGAAATGCTGAAAAGGTAAATGTGTTACCAAAAAACATATATGACTCGGAAGTGTTATAATAGCTTTGTTAATTAAATATGTACATGTTATGTAAATAATATATATATATATAATATATAATTATATATATATTTATATATATAATTAAGTATATATATAATATATATATAGTAATATAACAACATATATATAGCACATAGATAGATATAGCCATAATATAGATCAGATTAGATAGATATGTAATGTATGTATGTATTATGTATGATATGTTTTATGTAATATAATATATAGTAGTAGTATTATGTATCTATGCTTTGTATGTATGTTATGTATGTTCTATGTGTATATGTATGTTTAGTACTGACTAATGTTGTATGATTTGTATGTATGTTATGAATGGTATGATATGTACGTTATGTTAATGATCTATGTATGATTTATGTATGTTGGTATGTATTTTAGTAATGTATGTATTTGGTATGTATGTATGTTGTATATAGTAGAATATTTTAGTGATAGTGTTAGTATTATTAGTATATGATATATATAGATTATAGTAGTAGCTGTATATATTATAGTTATAAGCTTTATATATTGTAATACTTATTTTCCTTCATAATTATGTCATCATTCTTTACATTTATATAATTAGTGTTATAATTTTGATGTTATATAGTGTGTATGTGGTGTATATATATGATATTGATATTAGATTTATGTTGTATATATAGTATTTGTTAGTATTGTCGTCGTGTATTTTCTTTTATATAGTGTGTGTAGTTAGTATCGTGTCAGTTGTGATATAGATTATTGTATGTGTGTGTGGTGTGTGGTGTGTTAGTGTGTGCTCATCTGTATTGATAGTGTATAGAATTATATAGTAAAAATTATATAGTAGAATATATATAGTATTATATTATTATATATATATTATAAATGTGTGTGTATATAATGTTTGTATGAATATAAATGTATGTAATAATAGGATATATAGTATATAATAATTATATAATTTTATATAATAGTATCATATCTTAATAGGTATTCTATTCTAACATAATAAGTTTAATGGAGATATATGTAGTATTACATCTATGTATATATATAAGCATACATATAATACTAATATATATAGTTAATATATGTTATATATATATATATATATAATGCTATATATTAAAATTCATAATATTTATATCTATCTATCTATCTATCAATATATGTGTGAGGTTGTGTTTGAGTATGTGTATGTGTGTGTTTTTGAGTGCATGTATTTGTGAGGGTGTGTGTGCGGGTGTGTGAATGCCTGTGAGTATGTGCGTGTTCATGTAGGTAGCACGCAAGTGTATATGCTCCTGTATATTAAGGTGTCCATCACATACTCATAATTCAGCCTCAATAAAATAATCAAATTACCCGCACCCACGCCCACAAACATTACGCAGCACCACTCGGAATCCGAATCTCACCACGCAAGGAAGGGTTCTATTGACGTTCCCTCTCTCAGGGTAGTCTGCAGATTCGTAAGATGGTCTTTCAACTGGCCCAAGTACTCTTCGTTTGAGATCGTGTTCACCAGGTCGCCAATGTCTCTCACTAGCTTATTGCACTGAATCTGCAAGACATTTTTGCCGGCCCTCTGAAGTTCTAACCGTGCCTGAAAGAATAATTTTTGCCATTGTAAAATAACAATAATTTTTGATATTGTAAAATAAGAATACTTTGTGCCATTGTAAAATAAGACCTAAGTTTAAGAATATCAAAACTCATGCAACTAAGAAAATAAAATTACACTGAATAACAAAAAATCATGAAAAGGATGACAAACGATAGAAAATTCCTCAATAAAAAGTAACATAAAATCCTCACAAAATTTTCTTATTTTGAAATATATACATCAAACACCACTCCATTCAGATTTCCTCCATTAGTAATAATAACAACAACAATAATAATAATAATAATGATAATAATAATACAATCAGAAAAACTATAATAAAAGTAATCATCATCATTAACATCATCATCATAACAATATCAATAATGATAACAATAAGAATAATAACAATTATGGAATAATATATAATTTTAACGAACAACCACATCAATAACAACATAACCAAACAATGGCAACAGCACCGTCACACCACACTTCCATTCATGGGAATTCCTTATATCCCCTGGCTGGCTGGGGTTGTAACCTCCGGGTCTAATCAGGCGAGGGTGGTGTCGGCATGTTCCCGAACAAACTCGCTCGCGCACAAGACCCCAATGTCCCCTCCTTGACGCTGCTTCACCCTGTGACACCCTCTTTGGGTGTCAGCGTGTGGATCTTGCGCAGTGGATTCTGGGGTCGACCGGTTCTTGGATTTGGCACTGGGTCTTCTGTGGGGTGGCGATGAGGGTGGTGACAATATTGGTGGCGGAGGTAATGATAAGTTGTTCGTAGTGGTGTTGGTGGATGCAATACGGATGATGATCAGAGCAACAGTAATATCATTATTACAAAAGTTATAAAAATAAGTATTAAACCACCAACAATAAATGATGATAACAAAATGTACTATATTATAAAACACAGAGATAGAAGAGCAAAATAAAATCAACAATACTTATAATATATAAAATTAATAATATATTATAATACAACAAATAAGGATCACATAATAAAACAATATAAAAGTAGTGAGTGATGAGAATATAAATAAACTTTATCATGATATTTATGAAATAACATTGCATATAAAACATAATATAAACATCAGGAGAGAAAAATATGAATATTAAGTTAATAACGTGGGAATAGAAGATGAGAGAGATGTTCTAAAAGAGATACAGACACAACCTAAAAAAATATACACACCAAATTATATGTTATTGCAGTGTACACATGCTAAGTACATCACCACACACACAACACAACGAGATCAGCAACACCACACTATCTGTGTGCAAATTATCACAGTTAGTATTTATGTGTATTCTATTATTAATGAATAAATGAACGCTTGAGTTTCAATAACTCGTAGACATTCACCGAAGATTCAAAAGCCTATTCCTCTGTAGATACTCTGAGCATATCAGAGTGACTACACTTCACAAGCCAACTACTACACATCGGCCACAAAAGCGCGATAATCATTGGAAGTTGGTGGATTTATAGTAAAAGAAACAAAACAATAGATCTTTGAAAACACTCAGAAACCTAAATTATGTGCAACCCTATCCCTAGGGCTCGCCACGATCCGCATCTTGCAGTCTATAAATGGGCCTATGGGTCCTCATTTAGTTTCTGGCGTTTGACTCGGTTAGGTACTCGCTCAATTATAGGTAGCTGCACTGTTCCTCCGGGATGGTCTTGATATCTCATGGCGTTTCTCAACTTAGCGAGAAGACTAGTTGTCGCTTGCACTTCCTATTCATTCTGTGACCCTAGTATTGGTGAGGAAATCATCACATCACCGTCGTTAATAGCTATTATGAAGTACACTATATTCATTCTCATCTCTCCTCATCTCTTCTTATTCTCCTCTCTTCTCCTTCCCTCTTCTACTGTCTCCTCTCCTCTCTCGTCTCTTCTCCTCTTCCCCTCCCTCTTCTCTCGCTCTCCCCTCTCTCCTCCCCCCCTCCCTCTCTCTCTCCCTATCTCCCCTCTCCGTCATTCTTTCCTTCCTCCTTCCTCTCTCCCTCTCTCCCACTCCCTTCTCTCCCTCCCCTCTCTCCCTTCCCATCCATTCCCTCCCTCTCTCTCTCTCTCTCTCTCTCTCTCTCTCTCTCTCTTCTCTCTCTCTCTCTCTCTCTCTCCTCTCTCTCTCTCTCTCTCTCTCTCTCTCTCTCTCTCTCTCCCTCCCTCCCTCTCTCTCCTCCCCCTCCCTCCCTTCCCTCCTCCCTCCCTCCCTCCTCCCTCCCTCCCTCCCTCCCCCTCCCTCCCTCCCCTCCCTCCCTCTCTCCCTCTCTCCTCTCTCCCTCTCTCCCTCCCTCCTCTCCCTCCTCTGCCCCCCCCTCCTCCCCTCCCTCCTCCTTCCTCTCTTCCTCCCTTCCTCCCTTCCTCCCTTCCTCCTTTCCTCTTCTCCTTCCTCCTTCCTCTCCTCCTTCCTCCTCCCTTCCTCCCTCCCTTCCTCCCTTTTCTCCTTCCTCCTCCCTCATATAATATATATATAGATGTGTCTTGTAAATGAATACATAAATATCACTATGCATATTATCACAAAAACACTGTACACACCTCAAAGTCTGGAAACCTTGCCACTTTAGTAACTGAGAAAGTTGCGGGACATCCAATGTGCTTGGATGGAGTCCTTTTCTTTTTCTTGTTATTTGCACAGCTGCCCTGTAATGTAAAATAAAGAAACAGATCAGAAAATGCAGTCCTATTTACACTGTTCTTTCAATACAGCAGATCTCCCATATTATCACAGTTCCTTGTCAATGTAATGACAGACAATCTAAGATACTTTAACTCTTAGTTTCTCTCTATCTCTCTTTTAGTTTCACACCTCTTTAACTATATATTTCAAAGTTTGTGTCTTCCTTCCCTTTTTTTCTCATAATCTTCAGAATAAGATACCAGTATGAGAGAAATTAACAAAAAAAGAGAGAAAGACAAAATAAATTGACTCTTTCACCTCTACTGCATGATAGAAACCTTCAAAGGTAATACTCCTAAGACAACGGTGAAAATCAAGATCTTTTTTATCAACCTCTCTCATTGAGTTCTTATGACTAAAGTTTACCGGAATATTTAAAGAAACAAACAAAATGAGGAATAAGCTGCATATGGTAGATCACAGCTATTATTATATATTTTTTAAATTCAAAATAAGTAATTCCTTTAACTCACTTCAGATTCTTCTTTATGCTGCTTCACTCCATATTTATAATTGTGTTTACTAAGGTGGCATGTATAGACTCGACTCCCAATCCACATAAGTGGAACGCCTGTGAAGGGGACAACTGCAGAATCCCCTTTTGATCGCTTGAGTTCAAATAAGACACGTTTCCCTGGCTTTGGTCTGTCATCTGAAATCCACAGAGAAATTTTGGTGTTTATATCACTCACTGTAAATCATTATTGCTTTATCTTTCTACATACCAAATCATTCAGTACTTTTTATATTTAGTGCTTAAACCAAATTTGGATAAATTACACTTATATCACTTACCACAAAATCCTGGAGTTTTGGAGTAGAGATTGTATTTTGACCTTGTCTCTTCTTCAACTCTGTCTTTACATGCAAGGACACTCTCCCATGTGCGGAAGACACTATGCCTCTGGTTTAGTCTCATTTCCTTTTGCCGTTTGTTGCGTTCAATTGCCTGGATCTTGTACTCAGGAAGAACTTCCTTCCCATCAACTACGTCGTAGTTCTTCCGCCAAGGTCTATAAGGGTCCCTTATCCGTGAAGATGCTGATACATACTCCCTTATATCTATATTGCCTTCAAAGTTTTTCCTCTTATTTGCACTTGTTCTATTAATGATATTCTCAGGTACTACATCCTTCTCTTCAACATCACTCTCTTCCTCATTATTTATCTGCTCTTCTAGGCAGTCACACTCTCCCTTCAGGTAGACTGTCCTGCTGTTGGTCTGGATAACTCTTGTACATGTGTGAAACTTTTCCTCTTCCTCCTCCTCCTCTTCCTCTTTGACCTCTGTTGTCCTGTCTTTCCGAGGGCGACCCCGTCCCCTCTTGGTCTTGAGTCTCCCCACAGATGGCAGGTCACTCTGTGGGCCTCCATTTGGCACAGATATCCCTAACGTACTAGCTTCCTTGCTATTCTTCTCTATATCTATACTGCTTTTGGGTGCACAAACCACAGAATGGCACATCAGAGATAATTTACCAGTAACTGGGTTCTTCATGAGTCTCAACACACCATTAGAACCTCCATCATTAGCTATGCCTTGTAGAAGACTGGGTTCCTTACTAAGAGTATTCACCTCTTTTATCTGGTCCCTCATGTCTTCATCACCCCGGGAAAGTGCTCCCGAAGGTGTTTCTATATTCGGAGCTATATGACTGACCACACACTTTTGCCCAAGTGATTCCGTGGGTATGGTCTCTATGGAGGCAATGTTCTTCTCAGAATGTAGGAGTATTCTGTATCTCTTGTCCATTTCTTTGGTTTATGGTTAAAAGGGTGTATATATTCTAACTATAATACTATCATCTCTTCTTCCTCCATTTCAGCAAATCTGTTGAAATGTGAAAAAGTAAAAATAAAAATATATGGATACTTTTTACTTATACTTCAATTATAACAAAAAGATGCAGAAAAATATGCTCAGGTTGGGCAACAAGTTTCAATAAATACGATTATTATGTTCTAATCAGACTCTATCAAGAGACAAAATACTACAAAGTCACATATAACTTAAAAAAGAATAACAACTACATTTGGAAATGAAGATTCTGTAAGCAACAAATGAATGTTCTATTTAATTCTAAAAGTTCTATTTAATTCTAAAAGGCTGATGTAAAGATAAAATATCTAATCCTAACAAAAGTTATAAAAATATTGTGGCAGGCATAATGCAGTTCCAGTTCCTATATAACCCTATTTTTCCACTTCCTACCTATAAATATCAAGACTGAAGGAATATCAACAAATCTAATTTTGGAGAATAAAGGGAAAATAATTTTGGAAGAATTTAGAAGATGGGAATTATTTAGAATTATTTATAAGATTGCTGTGAAGGCCAACTATCACAGGACTATCAAGGTATAGCTTCATTGCCTTCCTCGCAATTCACTATCAAATACACAAGGAATCCAAAATGCACTGTGATAAACATTAACATTATTATACACAAATATATATATATGTGTGTGTGTGTGTGTGTGTTAAAGCTTCTAGAAAATGTTCTATTGTGAGACCTACTGTGATAAACATTAACTGTTATTTGAATGATCTTTTAGAAATTTGCATTTTCCTAAGGGGGAAAATGAAAGCTAGATTCTGAATTAATGATCAGTATATGATAAGAAAAATATTTACTTATTTTAATTTGATGGAGGTACAGCTACACAGAAAACTATCGTTGGGGGGGCGTCGAAACATTCAATAAGAAACAGATCCTAATGTTCCGTACAGGTTGATATTTTGTTTCAAATTTGTCTCGTTCTGATTCATGTCTCGAATAGTCACTCCAGAATTCAAATAGATTCACTGTGAGATGATGATTTTATTCCTATATTGCCTTGCAATATTCAGATAAATCACACATACACAAAAGTAGTTGGAAAATTAAGGATATCAACAGTTTCATAGTGTTGACAACTATATTTCAAAAAGTATCATTTCTTGTGTCAGAAAGTTTAGCATGATTTGCTAACAATAACTTTTCTGCATAGCATCCACAATATACTTGAGCCTAATGTGTCATACAGCAATACTGTGGCTTACAGATGGATTTCAAGAATTCAAAAAGTATTTCTCAAGCACAAGAACAACTGTGCAGGCAAAATCTGACATCAGAAATTAAGAACACTGGTTGCAACAAGTGCCGCACGGGGAATAAGTCCAGGGCAATAGGGAGGAGGTCTGGGAGTCAAAGCCCCCAATAGAAAAATACAGTTACTGGATGGGGGGTCTGGGGGGCAAAGCTCTGGGTTAGGAAGATTTTTATTTCATATTATGATGTTTGTTAATTTCCAAGGAATGGCAGAAATAATATGGTCTTAATCTCTATGGGATGTGGTCACTTCATAAACATTACCAATACTTTCATTTATATCATTTGCGATGGAAAAAGACATGAGATCCAAACATTTTTCAGATTTCATAATTGTGAATTGGAAATAATAATCGCAAGATTAGATGGTAGCACGAAACTAAAAAATGAGAAGATGTTCTTGCAATTTTCTGTTTGTTAACATCGTTGTTTTCACCATTTTCTGTAAGGACCTATACTATGACAAATATTACGTTTCTTGATGTCTGACGGAAAAAGGCATGCAGGTTAAAGCATTCTACAATGGGGACATATTCTGAACAATTACCTCGCATCTTACAAGAAATCCATAGTGAAGGTTTGTTGGTCTTTGTCAAAGCACATCACATAGGCATAGCAATCAGTTCCAAATGCTTCATTATTGCATTAATACAGAAATTTGATTTGGATAGAACATAACTAATTATTATAATATCTGAATACAACTGTGGACATAAACTTTTACTTCTAATCTATGAAAAAAGTATCTCAGGATTTTGGATTCATGATTACGATCTCTCAGAATAAAATAAAGCCTTACCATAATATCACCAGCCATTTTATCAATAACCCAGACATCTTCAACGTACACATATCTTATAGTGTTACATCTACGGCCCCAAAAACTATGAATATTTAACGTGAAGCGAGAAGACGGCAGGACACCCTTGCAGGTAAACAAAATTGAGGTTTGTTTACATCGACACGTGCGTGGGGAGGGTGGGTGGGTGGGGGGGGGTATTACGTCATGGAAAAACTCCTGTTTTAATGTCATGTAAATAATCATGTACAATATCAAAGTATATGATTATCACTCAGCAAAATTATCTCTATCATTATGTTTATCACATTTGATGATGATAATGATAATAACAATAAGCTATTTCATTACAATTGTCATTATCATTGTTATTATTATAATCATATATTATTATCATTATTGCTATTATTAATAATAATTATCATTATTATCATGATCATCTTATTATTGTTGTTGTTATTATCATATGATCAGATCTCCTTTGATCAATTCCTATCTTTTATCTGAATTACTTAGTTTGATTATCGATTATTTAGGTATTTTGCTCCTTCATCCATTATTGTTTATTATCTTAACTTTATGATTATTTTATTTCAATTATATTCATTTATCGGTACGATCTCATTATATCAAATTAACTACATCTCTATAATCATTATTAATGGGAATTATTGGCACAGATTATCCATCATATCTCTAACCTATCTCTCATCCTACTTATACTCTCTCTATTAATATATCAATTATCCATCTATCATATGCATATCAATCACGTACTGAAGTTTATCAATCATCATATACAAATGACAAACATAATCATTGTACTTAAATATCTTGGAATATGATGAAATTTTTTTTATATAAAATCATCTCCGGCGCGGCGGCGTGTCGGCAATTCACACGCATCACATCCACACACACAGACATATTAGTATCTCTCTCTTCTTATTATATATATATGTATTGAATATCTTATCTCTATATATCTTATTTAGCGTATCTATCCATTATAGTCTTCACTATAATCCATATAATTATATTATATGTATGTATTATGTATAAGTCTAATTCTATATATAGTGTGCTTATAGGTGTTATAGTTGCTGTTACTATCATTGAATATTAACTTATAGTATATATTAAGCTTACATTCTTTATATATACATAGTAGCAACATATATAGTACATAGTGGTATATATACTAGTACGTATTATAGTCATATTTACCATGATATAGTTTACTATTTTAACATCACACATATCGGT